ATACTTATATATATATGTAGTAGTATATATATATATATATATATATATATATACTATTAATCAGTAATCAGGGTATTGTTGTTACATGTAACTTCTTATTCACCCATGGATCTAAATTCATCGACCTTTAGTCACATACAAGCTTTATATATCAAACCCTAAACAGTCACAAACCCCCTGCTTTTTCTTCTTCTCTTGTACGCGTTTAAACCAGGAATTTATTTTCTCACGTGTTTGCTTATTTGGCGCGAGTGCAGGGTATTCCGCCATGGCTGACCGACAGTTCGGTACGGGCAATGAAGAGCCAGAAGAACATGACCACGCTCGTTGTCGCAGGCCAGGAGTTACTGACAGACGCGGGTGTCACCGACCTCGTTCAATCGTGTCCAAGCCTGACGTATGTTGAAATTCACACAGCATGTGTTATATATCAGCGTACGTGCTGATATGTGTCGTATGTTGAAATACACACAGCATGTATTGTCGTATCGTGAGTATTAACATTTCGGCGTACGTGCTGATGTGTACAAACAGCTGTCTTTGAGAACGAGATAGTGTGTAGATAGAGACGTATTTGTCTGGTGTTGCGTGCTTGTGCATAGATGTAGGGTTAGGTGGCTACATGAACCCAAGAGTTAACGGCAGGCAAGTGACGGTCGACCTTGTTGTACCGCGTGTGATTAGACTCGATAGATCGTACCACTATTCTAATTCGGCCTACTCGCTTGTATATACCACACTCACGCTCTATGCTACACACCCCAGACATCCGAACTCTTTATACAATTTCGCCCCTTTTTTCTTTTGGAGTGTGTAAACTATACTCACAAGCCCTTTGCCACACCATCTGTACCCACATCAAACAGGAATCTAGATCTCCCATACACGCCTGAAGGAGTTTATTAACTATACTCACAAACCCTTTACCACACCTTCTGTACCCCCATCAAACAGGAATCTCGATCTCTCCTACACGTCTGAAGGAGTTTATAAATCATCCTCACGCCCTGTGACACACCTTCTGTACCCCTATCAAACAGGAATCTCGATCTCTCATACACGCCTGAAGGAGTGTGTAAAGTATACTCACAAACCCTTTGCCACACCTTCTGTATCCCCATCAAACAGGAATCTCGATCTCTCCTACACGTCCGTCAGTGATGCCGGTATCGCCACTCTGTGCAATCTGAAGCACCTGCACATCCTCGAGATCTATGGCCTCACTGTCAGCAAACAGGTGCTGGCCGTGCTCAGGAAGTCTATTCCGAACATCCAGATAAGTGAGTAGGGCATCACCAGGGCAACAAGCAAGACACACACACACGTGTGTGCTCGGCATAGAAGCATACAATTAGTAAATGATGGTGTGAGCGTATGGGAATACATGTGTATATGAAGATACGTAAGTGCATGCGTATATGAATATACGTAGGTGCATGTGTATAGGTGTATAACCTCTGAGCCATACCTTGCGATTTCATGGCTGCTGTGGTCTACTGGAGGTTGAGGGTGCCCGAGGCTGAACCGACGGAGTTGTGTATGGTGGCCGATAAGAAGCTGACCAAGACACAACAGTGGCCACTGCGGGGGCGGTACTAGTCACTGTACAAGTACAGATAGCCGTGACACGCCCCAATACATACGCACACTGGGGAAGATGCACTGTAACGTCAGTGCAAGTGGGATACTATTCCATGCCTGTACGCACCAGCGGTTTAACAGAACACAGGCGGCATTCGCAAGCAATGCGACTAAGCAGTCACGACTTGGGGGCGTTCTTCGGTGGCCGCTCGCACGCTTGTACGGCTCCACCGCCTGCTTAATTGGCCACTATGGAGCGTCAGGGCACGCAGCCAACCGGCGAACCTGTGTACACCATCTCATCTCCTGGTTAATTGTTCACTCTGTGCAATACAATATACCGACAAGAACACACGCAGCTGAGCTTCTCCGCAGAGATACCGTAACTTGTCCCGGCCCCCACTAACACAGACGGATCATCCGCATTTCGGCTGGCAAAGGGTAGATAGAATTACCGCCATATATAGCCGTCGGCTCACGTAGTACTGACGTACTGGCTCAGTGCGTGTAGTGCCTCGGATACCATCGTACGCTGTGAAGACTCAATGAGATATACCGAGACACGCAGGGCATTGTTCAGCCCTAGCGGTCGGCCTGACACCTTCAACACAGACATGCGTGTGCATGGAGAACCATTGGACTACTGCACTCAACAGATTGGGGAGGGGGCAGCAACACGTACACACGACTATACTATCAACACGCGACAACACTATCAACACACGACAATACTACCAACACACGACAATACTATCAATACACGACTACAACCGTGGGGAAGGACGGCTGACTATATAGGGCACCCCGGTCAGGGGAGGGGAGGGACAAAATGAGGGCATGTGGGATTGCTGTGCTTGTAATGAGGCAGCTATGCCTCACTTTCACATAGATAGGCCCGAGTGTCCGAGGGTTGCAGTTCGGTACTACTAGGAGGCGCTGGCGCTCATTCTGTCAGTTCCGTTTACGTCGGACACTTATCACCGTCATGAAGTCCTTGATGCGTATGCCAGTGTATCAGCCGACTGTGGGATGCCTATCCTTTCACCACACACCATGGCATAGTTGGATAGCCTCGGGCGGATATGAAAGATGTGTCTGATCTCGCACTTGTGGCTATAGATAAAAGTATGGGCAGAGACGCCCCGCTAGTATGGAACTGTTTTCATAAGGACAAGCCGACACATGCTTCTACTACTGGCCGATGGTCCCTTGAACACCACTCCACACACCACCACCACCGCCATTGCTAACTATCGGCGCATATCCAGAACGCTATGCAGTCCAGGACCACGTGCGCATAGCACAGCTGTTTACCGTGTACTACAGCATAGCCCATCGGTCTATAGTGTATACATACACAGACAAATGGCCAATAGTGAGACAAGGTAATCAGTCAAGATACCACCGGCCCTCCCGAGATACACGCCAAGCATAGCACAAACACAAGCACACATCACCATACCGCAGCCTCATACATGGCTAGGTCACCATACTACCATACATTGCCTCACTCTGAGCTAGTTTATCATGCTACTATACATAGCCTCATCTGAGCTAGTTCGTGGAGATCTTCCACTTTCTTCCTTCTTTTTTTTGCAACCGAAATGAACATACTACAGCCCCGTCTGTGGCTAGTTCAGCGATGACCTTGTGCTCTCTTCAGCAGTCGGACGAAATGTGTCAGGAGATCATGGTGTCAACTGCCGAGGGAGGCGCTGGGCCTGTGCCGGTCGTGGTATAGAAACCCGGGTGCGAACCAGGTGACCAGCCAACCAAGAAGCTTCCACCTAACACTTCAATACACAGAGATATAGGTTCCTTATTGGAATATTCTATGAACGTGACAGTATATATATATATATATATATATATAGCTATTGCTCCCATAGTAGTTGGAGTCGCCACTACAATGATCAAGGGGGTAAAACACACACTGATTTCAAAGGACGCGGTGGTAGAATTGGAAACAGTTCGGTACATCGTTGTTAGGATACACGTGTGCAGGACGAAAAGTGCTCTCCGTGAGATGTATCACTATCACTAATTGAGTTAATAATAGTAATAAATTAAATTGCACGTGTATATGTACTTTAAAGGAAAGAAGTTTTAATCGTACGTACGTTCTCTAAAACTGGGTTTTAATTGTACATACGTTTTCTAAAATAAGGTTTCATTGTGCGTATGTTCTCTGAAAATAGGTTTCAATTGTAGGTACGTTCTCTAAAAATAGGTTTTCATTGTACGCATTTTCTCTGAAAATAGGTTCTAATTGTACGTACGTTCCTTAAAATAGGATTTAACTGTATTTATGTGCTTTAAAATAGAATTTCATTGCAAGGATGTTCTATAAAAATAGGTTTTCATTGTACGTATACTCACTAAAAGTAGGTTTTTATTGAAAGTATGCTCACTAAGAATACGACTTTTTTGAAAGTATGCGATAGATTGTACGTATGTTTCTAAAAATAGGATATCATAGTACGTATACTCGCTAAAAATAGGTTTTTATTGCAAGTATGCTCACTAAAGTTAGGTTTTCATTGTAAGTATGCTCACTAACTGGTTTGATTGTACGTATGTTATCTAAAACTAGGTTTTAACCTCACGAAAAAAGGGTTTATGTTCTCTAAAAATAGGTTTTGATTGTACACACGTTTTCAAAAACAAGTTTTGCCTGTTTTTTTTTTTGCCGACTAAAAAATTCTTGTTGTACGGAAATAGAGATGGATGGCACGCATAATCGTCGTAGCAAGCCGATTGCAAGAATGATTGTATTCATGTTTTGCTGACTAATAAGGTTCCTGCGTACATTCCTCTATGACCGATTGACCGTGAAAACGTTCGATATTTCCTGTCAATTCGGGGTGGAATACCAGTGGGTGTTGTTAGACCCTTTAGTTGAAATGAGGCCCACTCCAATACGTTTCCCATAATCGAGTCCAGTGGTGTACTCTTTCATATACATTCTAATCATTCTAGTGTTGGCTTACACATTCTAGTGGTGGTTATAACACACTCTTATTGCTCTATACATACACTAATGATCGGAGTGAAACAATTAGAGTGTGTCGCACAACTAGACCGCCAGTATACGACTACCGCAACTATATGTAATAGTAAATATAGCACATGCAGTGTCTGTGGTGTGGTGTATGTGCCCTATGTAGGTAAAAAGTCACGGGGTACGAAGCAATGTAATATTTGAAGAGTATGACTCACGAGCTCTATAAATTGAATGTATATATATTATGAGTATCGCACGGATAAGGTGTCTACTAATCATGTTCTCCACTACAAACAGGACACTTTCCGGTACCATATTTACATACTTCCGAGGCTATATACGTACATCTACATATGTGTAATCCTCCTTAGGTGCATATACCTACAAAATATACATACTATTCGTATTCATATATATATATATATATATATATATGTGTGTGTGTGTGTGTATGTATGTACGTATGTATGTATGTATGTATGTATGTATGCATGTATATATATGTATATATATGGACGAGCACATTTATAATACGTCAATATACAAATCGTATATATAAACAACGCGTTTTCCCGACTTCACACTCTTCAATTGATATGCACACTCACTAACACACTCTAAACCTCCATATAACTACACTTTATCCGTGTTTGACGGCCACAAACTCGCCTTCCGCCAACATAGCCTTCCCATCTTCCACCATAAGCAGCTGTATTGGTTCGCCAATAGACTCGTCCGTTAGTATCCACATACCCAGTACATGCCCACACTCCATCTAAACCTACTTGCTGCATATGCACCCAATCCTGCTGTGCTACACACTGACATAAACAAATGCAAATAAACTGGTATACTCCAAGGCTTCATACAACCGGCGAGACTCGCGCTTATATATACATACCTACACTTGAACAAAACACGCATCTCAAACCTAAAACTTTATATAGCTACACTCTCTCCGTGTTTCAGAACCACAAACTCGCCTTCCTCCAACCCAGCCTTCTGAGCTTCCGCCTTCAGCAGCAGTGGTGGTTCATCGATAGGCTCGTCCGTTAGTATCCACGTGCCCCAGTGCATGCCCACACTCAGTCTGGGCCTTCGCAAGTCCAAGTGCACCTGTACCGCTTCTTTTGGGTCTACATGCTGCACCTGCAAGAACCATCTCGGGTCGTATGCACCTATCGGTATCATAGCTAAGTCAAACCTGCACCTTGATTCCTCGTCTGATGAACCCCCACTGGTGAGCGGTCCACCAAAGAACTCCTCGGCCGTTTCTAAGAACATCGGACAGTACGCGGTATCGCCCGCGTGGTAAGCCAGTCGGGGTGGCAAAAGCTCGGTACCGGAATCCGTCCCGTAATTAGCGTTGCTCTCAAAGCAGTATACAAAGCCACACCAAAGCTCCTTGTTGCGGTCAAACGAAGTGCGTGTGGTCCAGTGTTGTACTGGCGTGGACGTTATTGTCACACATGAGGAAAGGGTGTGTTCGGATGGGGTCTTGATGGTGAACTTGCAGGGCACTTCTTCCCACCAGTTCAGCTCCACCACCTTGGCCATGCTATTTTTAGACCATTTCGACCCGAAGTTCGGTACAAACCAGCGGCTCTTCATACCCAACGGTACCACAAATACAGGGTCAAACGCCTTATGCAGTCTCGTAACAGTAGAAGCACACAGATGATCGTAATGGTTATGGCTGATAGTGACTATGTGTATCTGTGGCAAATCCTCTATCTCTATGGGAGGTTGTACATAGCGTTTAGGCCCGGCAAACTGTACTGGAGAAGCACGGTCTACCCACACAGGGTCGGTGAGGATGTTCACACCACTGCATTGCACTAGAAAGGACGCATGCCCCATCCATGTGGTTTGTATCTGATTCTTTTGATTAGGTTCGTCCAAGCCATCTGTGACTTCCCTATTGCTGCCACCATATCCGGTCCCACATATACCCGCCATCGGACTGATTGAGAACAACTTCTCAGTATCTACACTCACCGACGGTACGCGTTTCTGCACCTCCTCTGGGCTGGGAAACGGGGGTGCATTCTGTCCGCTTTTCCACTGTACTAGACCGAATAAGCCATTCACCCTGTCGCCACCCTCCCAAGGTGCATTGAATGTATCGCCCCAAAGCCCACTTTTAGTGGGTTGGGTAGGGTTCTTCAGGTGTAACATACTACGTTTGATTTTGCATGGTTGGCTCTGAAGCGTGGCTATGTACGCCTGATCGAATGCCTTTTTCATCATATGAGAGTTATGTGCTTGTGTGCAAAAGATAAATGGTTTTGGTGAACATGCGCGTGTATTTTCTGTGTCCTATTAAAGTCGTAAACGAGACAAGCGATATTTACAACTTTGCAGGCTCTTCACCTGCCCAACTGGTATTTGTACAGATATGAGTTAGTCGAACATAAACGCACACCATGATGAGTTGGTGTGGTTTCGCACAACACAGCCTTTGATCAATATACCTTTTTAGGCTTTCGATAATAAAATCAAGAGAGCACTATAATAACCATCAAAATAACACATCCAAGTCAAATGTATACAATGAAATATGCTTTTTGGATATATATATGATAAATAAAATTCAACACTCAATCTGACTTGCTCAGAATACTAGCAGCGTGGCGCAGAGGGAGCGCGCGAGGCCCATAACCTCGAGGACGTCGGATCAAAACCGACCGCTGCTTTCTTTTTTTTCAACGTGTTTCAGTTTTATTCAGTACTGAATATGCTGCTACTGTCGCGCTTAGGTAATGTATGCTTGCATATTACAGATATAACTTATTTTTCTAATTGTCTTATTCGCATAGTGTATGTTGCGAAAGATATATTAAAAATATTGGATAAATTGTTCAGGAGTGCCTCTTTATGTGCAGAGACTTCATGCATACTTGCATACTGAGTATGTTGCCAACAATATATTAAAGTAGCTGAATAGATCGTTCAGACGTGCGTCTGTATATGCTGAGACTTCATGCATACTTGCAACTCTAACTATACGGACAATGTAATAAAAACATTTTAGAGGCTAGGCTGGATTGATAGTTCAGTTGTGTGCCTGTAAGTACAGATACTTCATTCGTATGTGGGGTAGGGCCTATTCGCTAGCACAGTGTTTGGTTTTGCATACCTGGCAGGCGCCCTATCTGTGATACTCCAATGCGAGTACACAATGAAACACATAAATACATATTATACACATAAACATTAAACATACATACCTATACATAAAATATGCGAAATATACCAAGAAGTCATGAGCTTTACAATCTTCATACTCTTTGTTTTAAAATAATCACCCACAGAAGGTATTCGTCGATCAAAAATTAATAATTCTGGAGGTAAAGTAATTCTCGGCTACATGCCGAAAACAAAGCGTCTTGTCGTATTGCCGAGAAAGATCATCATGTCCGTACACTCGCTATTTAAAAGTATTCTCGAAGTGGGCACTCGGGAACACCTTAACCTTCCGTGTCTTCAACGTATAATAGTACTTTGCTACAGGCCAGTGACACTCGGATATGCCTTTGGAACTTCACAACAGCGGCAGGATTAAGCATACTCGAAGAAATACATCTTGAATATCACAGCTAGCAGAATCTGGGCCGAGGCCGTTGCCCCGAGCACCACGTAGGCTGTCTTCTGGTTCAGCGATTGTATCATTGGATACAGATTACCCAGCAAGACCAGACCTGGGAATCAAAGAGATGGAATTCGAATTGAATAGCGGTGATTGGTAATGTGCAGACCTAAAAATTGTGGATAGTCGAGAAGAAATTGGAGTTGAAAGGTGCTATTTTTACGGAGTTGAAATTCAATTGCAGACACAGAAACTAGAGATCCGATAGAGATTCGATAAGTAAATTAACATGTCACGTGTATGTTTTCAGCTATAGCAACGCCACAAAAGGCAGTACAATACACGTTGATTCAAATTCTAAACGCATACATTTAATTAGCGCAGATAACTTACTCGATACGCCGAAGCCTAGAACTACAGCGGTCCATCTCAACGCCTCACTTGGCACAACGCAGACCACCTTTCAAAAGAAATGTATGCACATTAGTACAGGGAAGAAGGAACCCAATTGTATGTCGTTATCATGGCAACCTGATGAGTAGAGCTGTATGGATGCGGTTTGGATAGCATATACATACTGTGTGGACTTCGGCCCTTAATATGAAGAAAAAAAAAGTTGAAAATGACCATACTCGTCGTCACATTTTATTCTTCTTCACACAAACATCGCTAGCAGCAGCACTACCAATGCCCGAAACGATACCTACTACGCAACACTCACACACATACACCATTGGTAGTCAGCATCTCACATCACAAGTCCCAGTTGTATGCATACTTTCGCCACACAGTCTGGAATGGCTAGAGACCACTTCTGCCAGACATACCGACACAGGGATGAACATGAAGACGGAGTAGCCGAACAGACAGATCAACTCCAGCAGCACACAGGGTTGCTTGACATAGAAGTTCACGAACGCCCAGATCATCAAGGGAAACTGTGGGGTGCAGGGGGCAGTAGAGCAGCGATGCAGTTTGTGGGTGCAGTAGTTAGAGGTGAGTGGGAATGCAGCACAGGTGGAATGAGAGAGTGTAGTGTTGGTCACTGTGTGGTGCAGGGGGCAGTGAAGCAGCGATGCAGTTTGTGGGTGCAGTGGTTAGAGGTGAGTGGGAATGCAGCACACGTGGAATGAGAGTGTAGTGTTGGACACTGTGTGGTGCAGGGAGCAGTGAAGCAGCGATGCAGTTTGTGGGTGCAGTGTTTCGGGTAGCTTTCAGAGATGAGTGGAAATCAAGCACAAGGGGAATGTGGGAGTGTAGTGTCCATCCAGGTGAAATACTTTGGATGGCTTTGGGATGAATGGGCGAGAATTGAGTTGTGATTTTTTTTCTGCATACAGGCTGGCGTGACGCGGGAGTTTGAAGGTGTCCACATCTGCATGGCGAACTGTAAGGTCGTAATGAACAACAAGAGC